ATGGAGATTTACTGCTGATCACAGAACCGTGCTTCACTGAAAGATACGCATGACAATCGCAGCTTCTGTCGAATCGTGATCTCGATTCCATTTCGATTTATCGTGCAGCCCTAGCATGGACCACGATATCTGTCTGCACAGGAAACAAGTGTTTGAAATCTTGTGCATGAGTAGAATCCCGTCCTCAGGCAACTTGCTAGTTAGTGGGTCACATTAAGTCCAAGGACCCAAAGCTTGGATTTTTGGATCAAGATTGTTGCTCATCTTTGTGCCAAAGCATGTGATTAGTCCAAAAGAAAGGCAAAACCTTCTGGCATTTTGGCTGTTCCTAAGGAGAAGACCCTGTGTTCCCTACAAGCACTGAGGATAACTCGTTTTTTTCTCTTTTAGGCTATGTGTTGAATGGAATAGTACCTCGGTATATATACTACATACTGTTTTTTTTTTTTTTTATGTATTATACAATTTTTTTTTTAAAATAATATTAATACTATTAAAATATAATATAACATTTTAAATTTTAAATATAAAATGTCATATATAAATTATATTATACAATTTATTTATTTATTTGTAATTAGTATATTTGAATTTTGCCTGTTCCTAAAAAGCCCCAGTCCCCCCCCCCACACACATTTGTATTTATTGTATAATTGCATATATTGTATTTATTATATAATTTATATATATAATATGTACAATTTATTATTTATTGAAATATATATGTTCTTTAGGAACAGCCAAAATTGCATTATAATATATTAATATTATATAATTACAGAATAAATAAATACATTGTAAATAAAATGTATTCATTCATTCTTTTTTTTTGGGGTCAGGTGACTTAAGCTAAGTGGTTAGCCTACCAAGGATATTATAGTTTTGAATTTTTAAATTAGTTTTTATTTTAATATAGTTTTCAAATTTCCTATCATTTCAGTTTAGTTTTAGTTAGTTTCATTAATGGTTTTGTTAGTTTTAGTTTAGTTTTTATTTTGTGAACACATTTCTATTTAGTTTTTATATAGTTTAGTTTCAGTTTTAGTTTTAGTAATTATAGTTTAGCAGAGTTAATGGAAGAGTTCCAGTGTAGGCCAAAGCAAGACATTTCATTTGAGCAAAGTTGAATGTTTGCACAGTTTACAGTTAACTCTTGTGCAAATCTCTTAATAATGAAAATAAAATCATTCTTTACAATTGAACAAAAACCAAAAATATGCAACTTATATGTATAACATTTATTCATTCATATTCATGTTCATATTCATTCATATTAAAGATGTAATCTTGTTAAACATACCAATAGTTTACAAACAACAAGCTAATCGAGGTTTTCAGAGTTACTAGAAAGCTACAGGCAGTTGAGTTTTTATTTTGAAGGACAATACAAACAACAAGCTAATCAAGGTTTTCGGAGTTACTAGAAAGCTACAGGCAGTTGAGTTTTTATTTTGAAGGACAATGACCCTCCAGTGCTGGATTTGAGAAAACCTGTTCTTTGTAATCGTCATTGAAACTCTGTAAACTTTATTATTTGTCCATGTGTGTTTTCAATGCATTAATTTGTTGGATCTTTTGCACAGAACAGCCACCGGTGCACACTACTGTATGTCCCGTCTCTCCCTCTATGAACGTACACAATAAGAAGAAACAATCTAAAATGCTTTGAAACCTCATACTACTCGAAACTAAATGCGATATGGTAATTTAAATGATGTTTGCACTTTACTTTGATGAGCCGCTCCAGTGCGCACGCGCTTCAGATGAGTAACGCAATCTATCCCATAAAGCCCCTTTTACACAGGACACGGCAAGCGGTGAAAACACCGCGTGCTGCCGCTTTCTCTCATTTTGGATGCGTTTTGTACAGTCAAGGTGTAGTGCTCGTGTCATGGACGTGACGCGGATGTTGCCATAGTAATCGTAAAGCGTGACATAATGACTATTCACTAAAGTCAGCTCATCCAAAAAATTTAGTTAACTCATTCTCATGTTGTTCTCGCACGTCAAGCACGCTTTTAAACATCCGTGCGCTGTAGGGTGTGCATTATTATTATTTCCCATTTCATATTTTATAGTTATTTCCGATTTCATTTCCCGTGTCTTGTTTTTAAATGCAAAAACGCATTCTCTGTGAATAGCAGATTAGGACTCAGCTCACGTGCATGAAACGCCATCTACAGGTATTTCCCTAAACAACCACAGGTCAGATTTTCTGGCACAGAATGAGAGTTTATTAAATCACGAACGCGATTATTTATTTTTGCTAATTATTATTTTATTTTAGTTAGTTTTTCAGTTACTGTTGTTAGTTTCGTTTAGTTTTTCATTTACTTTGAAATTTTTATTTTATTTCAGTTTACGAAAATGTTTTTTGACCAATAGTTTTAGTCTTAGTTTAAGTTTTTGTTTACGAAAAAAACCTTGTAGCCTACACATTACTTTCAGCCTGTTCACCTGGTAGCTTAGCATACCCTGCTAACTAAACATATTGCTAAGCCTAGCATATACAGTGCCTAAAGTACCAGTATTTATTTGTGCTATTTATCATTTGTAGCTACCATTACTGCAAAAGCCTAACCAGAAAGGCTCTTTTAATTACACAGTATGAGTGAAGAAGGAGATCTTAATGGTTTATATAGTGTCCAATTCTATTGTCATACTGCAAATGGAAGGTCAGGTCGAGTGCAGTGCATTGTGGTATCTCACTCATTGTGCTCTGCTTGTGTACTGCACATCTAGTAGGTCATCTGAGTGTTTTGTGCATAGTACTGCAAAAAAGTAAGAGTAATACGCTATTCTCAACAAACCCATAACCTCTCACTGTTTTCTCTGAATCTCACTGAACCGAGATGAATGTTCATGCTCGAGTCTGTTCTGTGATCATTAACATGTGCTTTGTCTCTGCACATACTCTCATTTAATAAATCTGTTGGTGCAATTATTACTCTGTTTGTGCCTCTCTGAGAGCCTCCCAGTTGGATTTCTTGCATTTCCGGCCTAAATACACTCGAATCTGCAGCGTCTGCAATTCTTTCTGCGCTTGATTTATAAATGAAAACAATCACACTTAGAATGATGAGTGTGAAAACACTGTTGCTAGTCATTACTTATGTGTGCAATTACAGTTGGCTGTGTGCTTTGCTTATTGTAGGTGTGATCTCTCACCGTGAACCTCTTCCAGTTACTGTCTCTCACTTTGATGTCCACTCCGTAGAGCGCCATCCGCTCAAATAACGTTCAGTGCTTATGAAATAAACAAATTTGTCCTCTGAATCACCTCTCTGCTCCATGTTTGTCTTAACGCATAATTTTAAGCTAATATTATTCCCAGAATATGTTAACACATTCCATTACAGTCTTAAGAGGACAGCATCCTTGAAAATGCATGACTTTGCTGTGTCCAGTAATCACAGAGGATATCAAATGAATCAGGAAGCAGAGTGTAACGTTCTGCTTGTGGATTTGTCTACAACAGGGCGGTTGAACAGTGGCAGCCCCTCCACCCCCCTCATCTCGTCCCCCCATACCCCCACTGATGGACCGCATGAGGAAGATCAAACGGCAGCTGTCCCTGACGCTGCGAGGGGGTAACAGCGGGGACAAGACCTTGAGCGAGACCATCAGCTCTCAGGACACAGGAGCACACAGTGATTCCGGTATGGTGACATTCACTTTCTTGCAATACAATGCGAAAGCCACACTTGATTTCTAGTGCAGAACTCTGCATACACCGGTTTACTGAACATGGATGCAACTGTATTTGACCGGTAAAGCATAGAAGAGTGCCCATTAGGGCTGCACAATTTGGGGAAAAAAATGTCATTTCCGTTTTTCTAATAAAATTGCAATTGCAATTTAAAAATTACAGGTTTGAAAATGTTTAATAAATAAAAATTTATATTAATAATATAAGATAATAATAATTATTATTAATAATAAAAGTTCCTAAAAATAAATAATAATAATTATTATTATTGCTATTATTATTAAATAAAAATACTAAATAATAACTTTAAAAAAATAAAAAGTCTAAAATCTATTGTAATATTTCACTGTAAAATAAAAAAATAGTATTTAAGGAAATGGTTTAATAATAATTTTATTTTACAACTGTAAAATTACAATACTAAGAACAGTAATGGCTGTCTTAATTTCTTTCTTTTAATTTTTTTTGTCAAATTTTCAACCCTCATTAGGGCTGCACAATTTGGGGAAAAAAATGTCATTTCCGTTTTTCTAATAAAATTGCAATTGCAATTTAAAAATTACAGGTTTGAAAATGTTTAATAAATAAAAATTTATATTAATAATATAAGATAATAATAATTATTATTAATAATAAAAGTTCCTAAAAATAAATAATAATTATTATTATTATTGCTATTATTATTAAATAAAAATACTAAATAATAACTTTAAAAAAATAAAAAGTCTAAAATCTATTGTAATATTTCACTGTAAAATAAAAAAATAGTATTTAAGGAAATGGTTTAATAATAATTTTATTTTACAACTGTAAAATTACAATACTAAGAACAGTAATGGCTGTCTTAATTTCTTTCTTTTAATTTTTTTTGTCAAATTTTCAACCATCAAATTTTTATTTTGATGGATAAAACACATGGAGCCCTTAAAGGGATAGTTCAGCCAAAATGAAAATTCTATCATCATTTCATTACTCTCCACCTGTTCCAAACCTGTTTTATTGTCTGTCTTCTATAAAAAAAAAAAAAAAAAAAGAGAGCGAATAAAAAAGATATTTTGAAGAATGTTGGTAACCAGACATTCACTTCCATAGTATTTCTTTCCTAACTATGGAAGTCAGTGGCTACCATCAACTGTTTGGTTGCCAACATTCTTCAAAATATCTTTTTTTTATGTGCTCAATAGAAGAAAGAAACTCGTAAGAGTTTGGAACAGCAGAGTGTGTAAATGATGACAGAACTCTTTTTTTGATAAGCGCTTTTCATTAAAAGTATGTGAAGGTGGTTGGCGGATATTGCATTCCCAAATGCATGTTAAAGTGACCTAAACTCAGCCGAGCTGCTCTGAGATGCTACAAACAGCTGTGTATAATGAGCCACTTGCGTGTAAGAATGCAGTGACTATATTTATGTAATTAAATAACATTTGTGATGTGATAATAGCACTGAGTAAGCCATATGGCAGTTTCAGAGTTTTTTTGATTAATCGTGCAGCTTTAGTGCCCATGGTGATTGCTTTATTAGCTTATCAATAAACCTGGATGGAATCTACATCTGCAGAATTCCACAGAACTCAAATGCTTGTCATGCATAAAATTCTTTTCTTGCTTGTTTGTTTAATAAAAAAATTGGATATAATGCTACATTTAACACAATTGATCATGTTTAACTCCATTCCACCATATTCCACAAACACAGTTGATGCAGAAGTTGTACAAATTTGGCCGACTTATCTGTTTAATGATGACTAATCAAAGTTAGTGTGATTTAAGCATAATTAACAAAACATTACAACATAAATGTTTCATCTCTAGGTCGTCCTAGTCATTCCTTCCCGATATTGGGACGTGCATGAAAACTCGGCATGTAATATTTCAGATGCTCATAACCAGATTGTGTGTGTGTGTGTGAGAGAGCATTCTTACCAGAGGGGATAAAAACAGCTCAAATTCAGCGCCATCTGTACAATCTGTTCCAGGGTTTTTATATAATGGCAGCCAGTAAGTTGCCAGAATTGTTGCAAATGGCCAGACTTCAAAAAGAGCATTTAGTCTGTCAACAGACCACTTTAAGTGACATAATTCTCAGCATGTTGCATGTAAAAGATGTAGTTTTAGTTAAATTGCTAATTTCCTTTTTATGCTTATTGGTTAATGTGAGATCTGTGGCTTTTACTTCAGCTGCTGTAAATTTGGAACAGAGTAGCTATGAATTTTAATACAGTGAATTTACTTTACAGCAGTGTTTCCTGTCACTGTTCAGTGGAGGTGCTGTATTTGAATCTACGGTGCCATGGCAAAATAAATAAAATTTTACCTGAGTTGTGAGCTTGCCGTCTGAATTGCGATAAGACGAAGACAAAAAAAGTGCATTTTCTATTGTGTTTTCTTTGCTGACAGCATGCAACAGAAAACTCAATTAAATTTATGACCAAATGATGTTTATATAACAGTGTATATTTCAAAGGAGTTTTGTTATAAATGTTGTTTAAGGTAATTCTGAAAAAAAAAAAGTTTTTGTTTAGAAAAACTGAGTTCAGTAACTGATTTACAGGCATAAAATCTCTCTTAAAGGGATACTTCACCCTAAAATAAAAGTTCTGTCATAATTTTCTCACCTTGTATGCCTTTTGGTCTGCTGTGGAACACAAGGAAAGATATTTTGAGAAATTTGGATTTTTTTTAATTTTAGTGGAAGTTCTCCATAAATATTTGGAGCAACAATATGGTTAGTAAATAGTGGCATAATTAAAATTTTTGGATGAACTGTCCCTTTAAGGAAGCGTTAATGCCAACTGGCAAATTTGTGTTTAACCTCCATAATTAGATGTATTTTAAATTCAGCAGGAAATTATGTAGGGCGAAACAACAGAATTTTGTCCAACAGAATTTTATTTGATTAGGTTATTATTATGTCTTCAGAAAATAAAAGTAGTTGTAGGTGGAGAATGTGCTATATTTCAAAGAATTCTGAAAATGAATTTGTATCAATGAGTAGCTTGCACTGAAGAGCATACAAGACATTTAGGCTACATTTACACGACAACGATGTAGTCAAAACGGAAAAGTTACATGACAATGTTTTCAAAACGATTTGTGTTTACACATCCACGAAAACGGCCAAAAACGCTGTATTACTTATGCCAGGCCAGTAGTTGGCGCTGTCACCTTGTTAGTAAACAGTACCTGTTGCCATGTGTATATGATGCGTCTCCGCTGTTGGTTGTAATATTGGTGAAGTAAATCCACACTTTGCTGAAGAAGCGTTTGCAAACTCTTGAGCAGCAACAACAGTACCATGTACTCCGCCATTGTTGTGTATGTTTGTTCGCACTTGCCTTTAAAATCGACACGTACTACACATGTCTACATACCTAACACGTACCGTTTTCAAAGGGTGTTTACACGGAAACGACAACGGTGACGTTTTCAAAAACTTGCACTTTAAAACCCCTTTTTAAAAATATGCGTTTTCAGTCCCCAAAACGACGTTGTCGTGTAAACGAACAGGTAAAACGCATAAAAAATTTCCCGTTTTTGGCTGAAAAAGTTGTCGTGTAAACGGCCCCTTAAAAAGCAAGTAAATGGGGTTGATGTTTACTTTAAAAGTCCCGATACTCTCTAGAAACAAGTACAAAACTCAAGGCTGTGCTTAAATCCACGTGGTTTCAAGAAAGTCTTTAAGCCATTCGTCATTGAATGCATATACTTTCACCTCTGCCTCCCTTCGTGTTGCCTGCCAGTGTGATACGGGTATGCAGCATTAAAGCATTGCATTAAAACATCGAAATGAGTTTTAAAGCCAATCTATCCGTTATACCCAAGGACTGGCTATGGCTCTGCGTGCGTTGAGCTAAGCTACTGTCTCCTGCCTGCTGTTACCCCCTCTAAGCAATCAGCATGTGTCTTCTAGCATGGCTTCCCATCTCGAGCTAACTGCACTGACAGATCCTGCTCATCTTAGATCCGACAGTTTCAACTAAACCGCTTCAGTTTGACATCTATCTCCATAACCGTTTCACCCAAGTCGATAATATATATGTACATGCTATATATTCTAATTACCATATGCAAATACATCATCATATTGACCCCGTAAATCCATCTCATTCTTTTGTAGTGTGTTCTGGCATTTCTCCAAACCCTGCACAAATTTGAAATGCATTTGGCTTTCATATGCAGATGAATCGATGCCCTTGTGTGTCATTTTAATCGCCGCCACAGTGCAGAGCATCATTAGAAACAATTACCGGCAGCGAGAAAATGAATTTATCAGTGTCGTTGCTTAATAATTGTGGCCCTTGTACGTCATTTACTAACACTGAAGATGTTCCTTGTAAATTTATCTTTTTTTTATTTTTATAACAGTTTTGGAAAAATGATTGCATGCTCTAAAATTGGACTTTTTCTGTTTTTAATTTAATATTTCCTCTTTTTTTTCCTTCTCGTCCTTTGACTTTTCCCCCCAAACCTTGTTTTTCTCTCTTTTCCTTCTTCTCTGTTAATCGCAAAAACTTGCTACCCAACATTACCATTTCATCCGAACCATATCACTCATTCCCAACCACTTCTTCTTTTCTTTTTATCTCCATAATACACTAAATCTTCTTTATTCACCCCTTTTCCTTTCACTTCTGCTCCATTTTCTTTTTCCTATCTATAACGCTCAATTCCATTATGTGTCCCGCCACATTTACATTCTCCTTCCCGGCTCCTTCTCTGCCCTTCCCCCCCTTCTCCTCATCCTCATTTCCTCTGTGTGTCGTCCTCCTCCCCTCTCCTCCCTCCCAGAGGCCATGCCAGTTGGCGGCAGTGGTGGTCTGCGGGGTTCAGTGAGAGGTTCGGGGGGTTCCTTCAGCATGCACTCCCTCCTGCAGTCCTACAGCAGCGCCCTGCGCAGACCACGCACCCTGGGACGCAGTCTCAGCTCCTATCTCAACCACACCACGCACCTCGGTACATTCACACGCATGCACACAGATGACGAGGGTGTGATGTGTGTGAGGTTGCACAGTAGGGATGGGAATCGCAAGGAATTTTAACGGCTTCGTTTCCGATTTCGTGTTCCTTATCGCTTCAGTTAATGATTGTTATTGCATTCACTTCCCTTGAAGGCCTGTTGTCAAACAATGCGATAATTTTAGCAGAACAGTAATGACAAAGCAACTTCTCTGTCTTTATTTGTCTTAAAGGAATAGTTCACCCAAAAATGAAATTCCTGTCATCATTTACTCACACTCAAGTTGTTCCAAACCTGTATGAATTTCTTTCGTCTGCTTCAAAAGAAGACCTTGTGAAGAATGTGGGAATGTGTGCTGGTCCCTATTGGACAAAAAAATCGGTTTGGTTACCTACCTACCTACCTCTTCAAAATATCATCTTTTGTGTTCAGCAGAAGAAAGAAATTCATACAGGTTTGGAATAACTTGAAGGTGAGTAAATTATAGAATTTGAATTTTTGGGTGAACTATCCCTTTAAACCCATAGTCACAGGGTTAAAGACAGCAAAGATACAATAATATTTTTCCAGAACTGTATACTTGTTTCTAGGGCTGTCAAAATGACTGAAAAACTAAATTCGAATTTTCCACTTAAATATTATCAAAATTCGAATTATATTCTAATTTAAAAGGCATAATTTCAGCTAGGGGGAAAAAAAGCTTTTGGCTTCTCTCCTGAGGCCACAAGAGGGCGCATTGAGCAAAATATTATGCACGTTTCTTCAAAATGTAATAAAATAACACGACTAACTTTGAAAAAAAAGTGCATAATGTTTAAAATAATGTTTATAAACCATATATAATTAATAAAGTTGCTTAAACAATTAGAAAAAAAACAGCACCATGTATGTATAGTTTAATACAAAGGACCGAAAACCAATCACAAAGAGTAGGCTACTTTCTTCATTTAAAAACATGAGATACAGTGGGATGGGGGAAAACCGCCATAAAGTCTTGAGACATGTTTTTTTGCAACGTTTTTGCATTCGAATGTGGATTTTTTTAATTTGACGAATATTTGAAATTCTAATTTTTTTTTGACAGCCCTACTTGTTTCTGATTGTGCAGTTGCTTCTGATCTGTTATTACTGTTCTGCTGAAATGATCTCATACAATTAACGCCTGCAAAACAGCATGTGTATCTTGAAAAGTTGCATCCTAAAATTCGAATGCAACGTTTTTGCATTCAAATGTGGATTTTTTTAATTTGACGAATATTTGAAATTCTAATTTTTCTTTTGACAGCCCTACTTGTTTCTGATTGTGCAGTTGCTTCTGATCTGTTATTACTGTTCTGCTGAAATGATCTCATACAATTAACGCCTGCAAAACAGCATGTGTATCTTGAAAAGTTGCATTTACAGGTGCATTTAAAGGTGACATTTTAATTGTAAAAAGCAATGGACTGCTTGCTTAAATTAAATGTTGACTTAAAAAAAAAATTTGCTTGTTTCTTATTTTTTGTTATAGGACTTCTGTCCACATCGATGTAAGAATGCAGAAGTTTCAAGACTCTTAGTGGAACCGAACGTCATAAAATTATTTTATTATATTTGATTAAAAAAAAGAAACCATTTTTTCCCCAGAGATTCCGATTCCCAACCTTGCTGAACAACTGGACTCTTGTGAAATGCAGCATAGACGCATACACTATTACAGTGGTTCTCAGTTGGTGGATTGCAACCCAGGGAAAAATTGTGTTAAATGCAAATGATAAAATCCAGCTAACCATATAATTATACATAAGTAGGAGAGCAAAATAAGTCTGCTTATCAAGAGAAGGAGAAATACACATTTCCCATATCCTTTGTTGTTGAAGGCCATGCATCCAATCAGACAATACAGTATTTTCGTATTTTTACCAATGTCACTTGGTAGAAGATAACCAAATTAGACATCAACATGCAGAAGTTGCTTTATATCAATCACTCAATCAAAATGTATTTCTATAGCACCTTTCAAACAAATCCAATGCAATTTGCAAATGTAAACAAGCAATTGACACAAAATACAAGCAATGACATTAACACTAAGAAATGTTAAGCAAAAATATTAAGCAAAATAGAATAGAAATAAATGGTAATGATGTAAATAAAATAATCATGAATCATGGGATTATAAATCATAGCATTGATTATAAGACCCTACATAAAAGGCAGACTAAATAAGTGGGTTTACATGCCCTCATCTCAAAGCATGAATAAAATACATGCGAAGTAAAACAATGCAACCTAAACCGCATCAATTATTGGCTGCCAAGAGCATAAAACTATTGAAAATTCAAGAGAAATGTGAAACATTTTCCTATTTAAGTAGTTGTTATTCATTTTGATTTTTTAGGACGTTTTTGTTTAATTTTGTGCTACTCATGATTCTGGTTTGCCTGGGTCGCTTCTTGATGTCTAATGTAAAATCTGCATCCTGAAGCAAAATCGGTTGAGAACCACTGCACTATTATTCACGGATAGACAGGCTGAGTGAGTGAGTGAGTGAGTGAGTATGTGTGTGTGTGTGTGTGTGTGTGTGTGTGGAGTGAGAGGGGGTGGGAGGTTGTGTTATGGTTTAATGGGGGGGATGGGACAGTGAGTGAATAAATGAGAGTGGAAGATAATGACTTCTATTTTTTTTTCCTTTTGTGTGGGTATGAGACGGATCTCCTTTCAGAGCAGCTAAGTAGTTCCTCAGCTGTAGTGTGGTATGAATCTCAGCGCCATATAAATGCATCAGAGACAGACAGATAAATGTGCAAGAGATGCATTTGGAGAGTGTTGCAGGCTCACAGATGATACATCAGCATTACTTTGGTTTTAAAATAGAATAATGAAGTCGTTTAGAAACATCAAATTTGATTTATTCAATAAATTTTACCAGTATCATCTGAATCGTGACATCGGCATAGCATGCTAATGTTTGTGTGTGTGTGGTTGTGTCTGTAAATGCAGAAATCGTCCATGAGGATGTAAAAATGGGTTCAGATGGAGAAAGTGATCAGGCTTCGGCCACATCCTCTGATGAGGTGCACAGCCCCGTCCGAGTTCGTCTGAGAAACAACCCCGGTCGCAAAATTTCCACAGAGGTATGTTCACGTTTCTGACTATGCTTGACTTTTTTTTGTAGTCAGTATTTTTAGAGTGGGACACTGAATAACACATGACGTGTTTGGTAATAAAAACATGCAATTTTCCATGGCTTAGCTTTGTTTTTGTTTTGTTTGCTTGAATTAAACCGTGTACCACGTAATAACCATTAGCTTGTTTGTTGCTATTGAAGGTACATCAGTTACGTGTGACTAATGGTGCATTGTGGGTACTGAAAATGCTCCACGGCATAGTACCCATCAGTTAGATGACTAGCTTGCGGGCAATATGGGTTATTACTGTTATTGAGTGTAACGAAACCTTTAGGCCTTAACTAATAATGGTTCCCCCCTCCTCCTCCTTCCTTCTCAGGACATAAACAAACGTCTATCTCTGCCTGCCGATATCAGGCTTCCTGATGGCTACCTGGAGAAATTCAGCCTCAACAGCCCCCTGTTTGACAAACCACTCAGCCGGAGATTACGCAGAGTATCGCTGGTAATGCCTCTCTATTGGTTTTCTTTCTGTAAACCTCTTTCCTTTTTTCAGCCTCTGCTTGGGCTCGATTTTCTGCTCAAATCCAATTTTTGAGGTTGTTCACCTTTTCAGTGTGGCCCTTGTCATACTAGTCTAAAACATTTCATAACATCATTTAATATGATAGAATGTTTCCATAACTAATCATACAAAGTGAATCCATTAAGGGCCATAAAAAAAAAAAAAAAAAGTTGTCCAGAAGATATTAACTTTTTTTTTATCAAGTATCAAATTGAAAGGCTGTATATCATTATTTTTATTTTTGTATCTATTTTTATTTCTGTTTGTAAAAATAGAATTGCATGGAATCATTTAACAATATTATGACATTATTTTTCTTGTATTATTATTATTATTATTGTTAAGGTTTTTTTTATTTGTTTTATTTAGATTAGTCCCGAGTTTTCCATAAACATAGCCCTTGATCCTGGCAAAATCAAATAAAGTTATTTCTTTTATTTATTTAGCATATTGTAATTTGGACTTGCCAAATTAACATATGCTTAATATGATTAATTAGACCCGTACCCTCCATTTTCTGTCTTTGTTTTCTTTTGCCACCAATTCTTTTGCTCGATCTTTCATTCTCTGTCACTCTCTCTCTTTGAGTGCCTTTTCTCTTCTACTTGACTTGTCTTGTTTGTTCAGGGTCACATTATCAGTGCTTTGAAATCATTGTGAACGCACAGACAAGACAAACTTTCACAGCATGTCTCGCTGCTAAAACCTTCTCAAAATATTAGTGTCGCACAGTGTCACAGGAAAATGAGTGAGCCTCACAAAGAAATGGCCAGGTCCTATTTCACCCCAAAAATAAAAAGGAACACACCAACTCTATTTTTCAAAATAAAACTGAAGCCTAGTTTTATTATTTATTATAGAATTATTAGGGTTTTCTTTTTTTTTTGCATTTATACATTTTATTTTACATTATAACATTATTTATGAAAATTAAGAACGTAAAGATATAAGCACATATAGACAGTAATACAAAATACAAACTAAATCAAATTAAATTCAGTACAAAAATGATTAGGTAATTAGGCATTTAGTCCTTGCTTAATTAAATCATATATGATTATTTTGGATATCTGATATGGATTTTTTTTCCACATTAAGTTACTGACAATTTGAAAGGGAAATAATTGTAATTTTTCTGTAAATAAAGTCACAATGCAAAATAGAGTCCTAAATAAGTCATATTGGGATGAGTATTCTTGACAAAATGTAAAAATCATGTTTTTAAATTATTATTATGCTATACTACGAGTTCAGCTGCCCTTGATATGACATTTAAACCCAGACTGTGATGTTTATTCAGTGCTGTTGACACACTCTTGATCTGTGATGCGTTTAAACACTTAATTTGTTACACTTCAGTTGTTCCCTATTTATTTTGGGGAGGGACATTTTAGCTCATGTTGTCTATGTGTGTTATATAAACCTCTATGACCAGCCCAGCCGTCTGAAATGGGAGCATTCTAATGAGTTCACATCAATGCCTTTGAATTTTTCTGCCCTGTTATCCCCATGTTGTTTTAGTGATGCTTTTTAGCACCATGTTGTGACATAGTTTTTGCCTTTGTGTTTGCAGTCCGAGATTGGATTTGGGAAGTTGGAGACGTATGTAAAACTGGATAAACTAGGAGAGGTAACTTCACAGTCAGTTTATCATAATTGCTCTGTTCAAAAACAGCATAATCACGTTACTGTGCATTGTTATCTTTTTCTCTCTCAGGGCACCTACGCTACAGTATATAAAGGCCGCAGTAAGTTGACGGATAACCTGGTGGCTCTGAAGGAGATCCGTTTGGAGCACGAGGAAGGAGCTCCGTGCACTGCCATTAGAGAAGGTGAGTTACAAGCATGCCGTAGTGGATCAGCACTAAAATTAGATCACCAAACTACTGCCCCAAATTTCCCACATGCTTGCGCAGTGACAGACATTTGTACTTTTATATGTAGGATGTTCTAAATTAGCCAGAGAATCTCTAAATTCACTATCGACGGCTTTTGTTACATGGTATTTCAGCTGGTTAAAAGGGTTTTATAATATGGATAATATACCAGCCACCCTGCAAACCGTAATTAAGATCATTTACACATCACGTCAGTCTCAAAGGTACAGTAGCAAAAGTCTGTTTAAGTTTGATTTTGTGTAGGAAAAAATTATGCTTTGCAGTAATGTTTGCTTCAGGCTAACTTGTTCATCCTTGTCATTTAATGAATATTCATAAAGGTGTGTGAAGCACCAGAGGTCGTGTGTTTGAGGAATAATCTGTCTCTTTCTGCGCCTCTCTAGTGTCTCTGCTGAAGGACCTGAAACACGCCAATATTGTGACTCTTCATGACATCATCCACACTCAGAAGTCTCTTACACTCGTGTTCGAGTACTTGGTGAGTCACTCGCATGTGTAGTATTTCACTGCAATCTGTACACTTTTTAACTGTACTTATGATTACACACACAGCGTTGGAGAAGCTATTTGGAAACCGTAGCTTGCCAAGTTGCATGCTGCTCATAATTTTAAGTAGTTAGAGTACAGTCAAATTTCTCTTGTCCAAACAAACGTAGTTAATTAAATTGAAATGATTTATGGATGGCATATCTATCTACATAGCAGCTTAAAATTCAATTTTAGAGCAGATTTATCTGGCACAAAATCAAGGATCTTAAAATGACAAAGCTAAATGAAAGGCTAATAAATCATTAAGTTCGGAATTAAAATAAATAATTTAAAAAACAATAAAAATAAAACATTTAAAAATCTAAATAAATATTTTTTTGTTGACCTGCATGTCGTGTAACAATTAACCAACATCAGAGAAAATGTGAATGTATTGTTAATTGTTAATTTAAAAAATATTAAGTAGCGGGTTTGACTACAAAAAAAAGTTTGTGGATCCCTGCCCACGAAAATATAAGTTTTATGTAAGTTACATAGGTTTTATATAATGTAAGTTGTTTATTCATGTATTACTTTAAAGGGGTCATATGATGCTATTTTAAAGATCATTATTTTGTGTATTTGGTGTAACAGAATATGTTGACATGCTTTAATGTTCAAAAAACACATTATTTTTCAAATAC